ACATAAAGCCTGCAGATTCAGTCTTCGTAGGTTAAAAACCTAAATGTGAAAAACAAAATTTTAGTAAAACTTTCAAATGAAAACAGTATATGATCCTTTTAGCTCTGAAGTAAAAATGGCTATCTCTTACATAAGAAAAATAAAATCAAAGAGGAATGACAAATATCACCAAATTAAAACTAACCTAGTGGGCTAGGGATTTAGCTCAGTGACACCATCTACCTCGCAAGCACAGATCTAAGTTTGATCTGTGGTACATAAAAAACAAAACACACACACACACAAAAAAAACAGTAACCTACTTTCTTTTTCCTTAGGCCTTTTTTAATTTCTTTGAAATAGGGTCTCAAGAAGTACCTACACTGGTCTCAAACTTGTGATACACCTGCTTCAGCCTCCCAAGCAGCTGGAATTACACACATGTACACTGTGCCCCACAAAACATATTTTTCCAATAAAATATACCAGAAACACAAGAAAGCAACAAGCTAGAACACAATTTTGCAACTCACATTGTCAATGGAAAAGTAGTACAATACATGGAACGCTAAAAATTAAAAAGAAAAAGTAATCCAACAGTATAATATACAAAAGTAATGAAAAGCAATGTATAGAAAAAATGGAACGACCTAGAAACATAAAGATCCTAAACTTCACTAGCAATAAAAACAAAATTAAAGAAAGCAATATATTATTGCACAGCCATTAAATGGGCATAAATTTAAAATTCTGACAATATCCAGCTACAGGAACTATAGGAACTTCCCTTACACTGTGAGTAGAAGTGAAACAACAACAAACAATTGAAAGAGCAATTTTTCAACTCTGCATGAACTACACTTTTGAAGAATTCCCTATAATCCCTAGAGTATCCCTCTCATGAACACAAGAAAACACAAAGAATTTTCAATACAGTGTTGTTGTAATATCAGTAAATTGGAAACAATTTTAGGTCCAACAATAGGTAACTGGATAGATAATGTGGTGTGTTCCTACAATAGAATATCACAAAGCTATTAAATTAATGAAATACAGCTAGAACATAACTGAATAACATGAAAAATGTTGAATGACAAAAAAGTTATAGAACAAAAAAATTACATTATTTTTATGAAGTCCAAAAACATGCAAAACATAGTATAGCCGTATATGTGTAATATACATATTTACAAAATAGAATTTCTAACTACTGGTAGAGTAACTCTGACAAGGGAAAAATAGAATAACACAGCTACTGAAAATACTAAAATATTTCAACTGTACATGAACTAGGCTCTTCTAAAAAAATAATAGTCAAGCGATAAAAATGGAGTTTGTTATACTTTATGCTAAAAATATTTCATAGTTTAAAAAGACCTCAAAATATATTGATTAAAAGTTGTAATTTCTGAAAATATTGGAATTTTTTGGTCCTATGCAAGTAAAATAAGGTATAGGAAAAGCTGCCTGTTGAGGCTACCATTTTCATCTGTAACCAAAATTTTTATTTTTAACTTTTTACAAAGGTTATAATACAGTATGTTCAAGGATTGCCTTAAGTAAATTTCATAAATTTGAATATATACAATAAATTGCTATCATTGGAATACTGTCACTATCTGCTTTTATATTGGGATTTCTTATAAAATTTCACTGGAGAAAAAGATTGCATTACTGAAAGCCCCAAGCAATCTGTCAAGTTCTACTAACACAACAAAAGTCAAACATGAAACAATACACATAATCAAATTTCACTTGGAGGACTGGGGATTTAGCTCAGTAATGCTGCTGCCTGTCTCACCTGTCTCACGAGCACAAGGTCCTAAATTCCATCCCCAGTACCAAAAAAAAAAAAAGAATTTAAAAAATTTCAGTTGGAGGAAATACCCTCTCAAGGTAAAAGTTCACACTTGAAACTGCTACATCAAAAGAATTTTACAGTGGTACCAAATTCAAAATCAGCTTTAAAGACACACATGCTAAAATTGATGAAAACAGCAAACACTTAGCAATCAGCAGTATACAGCAGGCAAAAAAATTTTTACCTGGTGAATAAGCAAGAAAAACATAAACATGAACTGGAGTTAGGGGAGAAGAGACAAGATCTGACTTGGGAACAAATGTAGTTTAACTGGAAAAATTGGTATAGAATATAAAGAAATAACACCTTCCCTTTTAATACTAAGCCCTAAAGCTTCCCATTGTGACTCTGTCATGTTTTACCTTCCTCTTGGAAACTCCTTGGTGGATAACCATATCATATACGCACAGTAAGAAGTAACTACTTCCTGATAGTGAGGAGAGGATAGTGTTAACCACTATGAGAAAGCTCCTACCTTAAAGTGCTTCTCATCTCTTCAGGAAGAAGACTGTTTTAAGTAAAAGGGAGGATGGCTGAGTGTGGTGGTGTATACCCGTAATCTCAGCACCAAGGCTGAGCCAGGAGGATCACTGGGAGTTCAAAATCAGCCTGGGCTAGATAGAAAATTCAAGGACAGCCTAAACTATAGTGAAACCTGGTCTGAAAAAAAAAAAAAACAAAACAAAACCAGCCGCCTGGTGACACAGGCCTGTAATTCCAGCACTCAAGAGGCTGAGGCAGGAGAATCGCTGAGTTCGAGACCAGCCTGGGCTACATAGTGAGTTCCAGGTCAGTCTCAACTACATAGTGAGACCCTGTCTCAAAAAACCAAAAAAAAAAAAAAAAGTAAATAAATAGTGGGAGAATGTAAAGCATCTCACTATTCCTATATGTATTACACTATACTTATCACATAAAACTACATTTTTCTTTTTTCTTCTCTTTTGGTACCAGAGATTGAACTCCGATCCTTGCACTTTTCTTTTTTAGCTACGTGAGCCTCTGAAGGGCAAGAACTAAGTATATTTATTCATTTTTGTGTCCCCAGAACTTAACACAATGGCTGACAAAGGTAGCTATTTGATGCATGCTGCTGACTGAAGAGTGAACAAAGGTATGATTGAAGAAAAGTAAAAATCTAAGTCAAGGAAAATAGGTGAAAAAGATGACAACATAAAGGAAAATTCCAGTAGAAACACAAATCAATGACTAGGAATATGACTCAGTGGTAGAGGACTTGCCTACCATGCAGAAGGCCCTAGGTTCAATTCATAGCCCCTAAAACACAGAAGTCAAATCAAATCAAATCATGACTGATTTACCTATTTTAAATTAAAAGAAGCCTTAAGATATAAAAATACAATGCATAATTTTTGTTCATTTAAGATTCCTTAGTATTTTGTTCCAATTTTTGAAGTTATACACCCTCAAATAAACTCATTCTTTCACCCCTAACTTACCTTTTGTTTATTTGTTTTTGTTTTTGGCTTTTTTTTTGTACAGAGGATCGAACTCAGGACCCTGCACTTGCGAGGCAGGCAGCAGAACCACTGAGCTAAATCCCCAGCCCCCTAACTTACCTTTTAGACAATGATTGCAGTCATACCTGAGCTAATAAAAACTTGAAACTGGTTGATGGCTCTACCCATTAAAAAAAAAAAAAATCAATGAACAATTACCAGTACCTCTTCTATTACAGTGGTAGGACACTGTGATCTACTAAACCATGCAAGGACCTCAGGAGCCACTGAAGGGAAGATTAAAAAAAACCAAAATAGGCAGAGCAATTCAGACTACTTTTACTAGAAAAGTTTTCAGCCGGGAAAAAAATGGGCTTCCAGAAAACTTTAACCTTGAAGAAAGAGCGCAGTTACTAAGTTTTAAAGTAACTGGTCTTACACTCTTGCTTCATCTGGGTCATTTCACTCAAACTAAATGAAAGCCTTCATGATAGTAAGAGAAAATACAGGTTTCATCGGGTGTGGTGGTGCATTCTTGTAATACTAGCAATGGGGAGGCTGAGGCAAGAGGATGGCCTCAAGTTCAAGGCCAGGCAAGGATACATATTGAGTTCAGAGCTAGCCTAAACTACACAGTGAGACCTTTTGTTTCAACAAAATTACAGGTCTCACAAAGGTAGTATAACTAAAGCAAAAGAAGAAATGTGTTCCAAAAGCAGACTGAGCCTCAGCATATTTTCTATATTTATGACAGTCACTTGTGTTCATCTAAAAAGAACAACGCTGCATGAAATAATGTCAATACATATTTGAAGACTAAGGGTAAACACGTAAAAAAGTACCTCCTTTGAATACAGTTTTGGGATTACATAACGTATCAAAATGAGACACTTTCTAGTCCTCATAATTAACTTTAAACTATGAAACGGGTGGCTCACTGCTCAAATGTACAGTATTTTGCGTGACTCGCGCACAATTTTCAGCCATGCTTTTCTTCATTCTAACTCCTAAAAATCTACCCAGAGATATGGAGCTACTGCTACAAAAATGTTTTCTCAGCCAGTGTGTCTTATGGTTATCCTAATACTCAATAAGGTCTTACGTCACGTTCATCTTTTTCTCATCGTATAGTCACTGCAAGGGATCAATTAATATTTTGCCCCAACAAATGTGTGTTATTCTGGATGTTGTAAGATTCTGAAGTTTGCCGTTTCATACCCTTAAGACAGAACATCTCATAGCATCTTCACAATTGTAAACACCTCCTGTACCTGCACTATTCAGGACTTGGATGCACATATAAGCAATGTGAGGTAAGTTCTCCCTATTCAACGGGGGTAAGTTGAAGTCCTCCGTTTTGGGGAGCCCTAAACAGCAAGATGTCTCCTACAACATCTTCAAGGGGTAGAGGGAAATTAAATTAGCTAGCTCTGGAAAGAGCAGGAAGTTTGTTATCGCCAACTCCGCAGTTCGACTCCAACGAAATCCGGCTCTTCCCACTACTGCGCTCGGCGAAGGGAACAGCCCTTTTCAGGAACCCCAGCCTCAGGCCACCAGGAGGTGCGCCACGGGCCCCCCCAAACACCCGACGTTTCGGCAGCGGCACCGCCCCTTCCCTCGCTTACTTCCCAGTCTCCACAGTCGCCACCGCCCACTTTTTTGCGGGACAAACAGAAGCCCAGGGCCGAAAAGGCTCTCACCTACGTCCTGCTCGAAGGGGTTGGCGGCGAAGAGAGACATGTCGCCTGCGCCCGAGCCCCTGTCGCTGCGGTCCGG